CGTCCGAAGGATGGTACGGACGAGGGGAGGAAGTGGTGGTGGCGGGGTGGGGGCTCCGGAGTCGCGAGCTCCATCGGACCGTCCTTCCGAGATGCTTTTTGGATGTGTTATTTGCATCTACCACCAAAAAAGTGTTACCTGCAGATTGAGAAGGTTGGTTTGCTGTTGTATACGCATATTGAATTTTCAGTTTTGCTAAGATTCTCTGAAGGTGATCGTGGGTTGTGTAGCTGCGTTTAGTGATGTTGTTACCTCATCATCTCTTTGGGTGTTTTGAGATGTTGGTATATGAGCTCACGGAGCATATGTTTACTCGTTTTATTTTAACTACTATCTGCAATACTTTGATTCTATTTGCAAATACTACCTCTGTAAACTAATGTAAGACGCTCAAAATGTGCATGCTTTGCGCAATTCTAGATTATCGCAGTGTCAAATCACCTTTTTTTAATGTTAGCAAAGTAACCTACCGAATTTAATCTCTCCCAACAAGAAGAAAAATAAAATAGATCCTCAAGTTTGAGACTTGTCTTGTTACATCAGAAGTCTTTTCGACTCTGAGTTGCTTGTGTAGAGCAATGTGTGCCACCACCAAGTCCCAAACTAAATGCCCCATAGGCCATTGGATTAGGGAAACTGGTAGGAGCTAGGACCCTACCAGGTCTAGGGCGTAGGTTGTAGGGGAAGGAGGGTGCTTGGCGTGACGAAGCTCGCGGCCGGCGGCGGCTAGGCGCCGTCGTGCGCGAGGGAGGAGGCGGCGGCGCAAGGAGCAGGAGGCGGTTAGGGTTAGGTTCCGGCTCCTCTGGGAGCCGGGCAATAGATTTATTCTTATTGCTTGATTGTCATAGAGTCTTACAACTAGTATATATAACCATGATGGAAAATAAAATAGATAACTTGCGGGCTAAGCCCCTAACTAAACCTGCCCAGCATAAGTCTGCCCAGTGGTCACCGGAGCGGCCGGGGGTGGCCGGCCCGGCACGGGGGACTGGCTGGCGGCCTGGCGGCCTCCTCAAGCAGGGCTCGCCAGCTGCATGGCCTGGGCGCGGCACTCGAAGGCGCGGGCGTAATACATGGCCGTCTGGAGATCCTGGGGTCCCCGAAGCTCCACGTCCACGCGGATGTGATCCGGAAGTCCACCGACGAAGAGGTCGGCCCGCTGCTGCACCGTCACGCCCGACGCGTGGCAAGCCAGGGCCTGGAAATGGTCGGCGAAGTCCTGAACAGTGTAGGTGAAGGGAAGGCGGCCGAGCTCCGCCAAGCGACTCCCGCGGATCGGTGGCCCAAAGCGAAGGAGGCAGAGCTCGCGGAAGCGCTCCCAAGGAGGCATGCTGCCCTCGTCCTGCTCGAGGGCGTAGTACCAGGTCTGTGCCGCGCCGCGGAGGTGGTAGGAGGCGAGCCAGGTACGCTCCGAGGCGAGGGTGCGCTGCCAGCGAAAGAACTGCTCGCACTGGTTGAGCCAGTTGAGGGGGTCCTCCGTGCCGTCATAGGTGGCGAAGTCCAGTTTGGCAAACCGCGGCGGTGTCTGAGTCGGAGCATCGTGGCCGACTGGCTCCAAGGTGCGAAGCAGCGAGGATTGGCGCGCCCGGTCAGCATGGCCGTGGCCCGTGGAGTGCCCCGCTGAACCGGAGGGATCGCCGAACTGCAGCGTGGGCGCCGACGGTTCTCCAGCCGATGTGTAGACGGGTGGCGGCGATGATCGGCCAGCCAGGCCGGTATTGGGGACGGCGACGGCGGGAAGCGCACATGCTGGATCGGGATGCCTGCCTGCGTGGGTGACCCGGGTCCCGTGCTGGGCGGTGGCGGGGCCGGCAGCTACGGCTGCGGCGGCACGAACCCGGGTGGCGTGGGAGGCGCAGCGAGGGCCGGGGCCGGCCATTGTGGCCATTGCGGTGCGTCAGCGGGCGGCGGTGGGGCCGGCAGCTGCCCCGGACCCGGAAGGCGTCGGGGGCGCGGCGATCGCCGGGGCCGGCCACTGCGACCAGTGGGGGGCGACGGCGGGCGGTGGCTGACCGGGCCAGTGGTGGTGTAGAGGCCCGATCGGTGCCGTGGTGGCCGCGTACCAGGGCAGGGCGGCTGGCCCGGTCGCGGCGGCCAGCAGCAAGGGCGGCGGCTGCCCATAAGGCCTGGCCAGGTAGAGGCGGATGCCCTGGACGGCGGTGACGAGGTCGTTAAGCACCCCGGTGATCTCCGCCGGGGAGTAGACGGCAGCAGGCGGCGCGGTGAGGGGCGGCGACTGGCCGGTGGGGAGGTCGGCAGCGGCGGTGGGAAGCGCCAGCGGCGCGGTGGAGAGGGCGGCGGTGGTGGACAGGAGCGAGGTGTGCAGCGGCGGGGTGGGTGGTGGAGCAGACATGATCGGACCTAAGCTACCTGATACCAAATTGGTAGGAGCTAGGACCCTACCAGGTCTAGGGCATAGGTTGTATTGGAAGGAGGGTGCTGGGCGTGACGAAGCTCGCGACCGCCGGCGGCTAGGCCCCGTCGTGCGCGAGGGAGGAGGCGGCGACGCAAGGAGCAGGAGGCGGCTAGGGTTAGGGTCCGGCTCCTCTAGGAGCCGGGCAATAGATTTATTCTTATTGCTTGATTGTCATAGAGTCTTACAACTAGTATATATAACTACGATGGAAAATAAAATAGATGACTTGCGGGCTAAGCCCCTAACTAAACCTGCCCAGTGGGCCTCCTACGGGCATAAGTCTGCCCGGTCATAACAAAAACCTTATCATTAGGCTTCATTAGTTTCTATGTTAGATGCTTTTCTCATTTGCTTGTTTTCTGCATGAATCATACAAATTGGGTGCAGAAATACATAAGTTTTCAATCATTATACTTAAATTGCTCCAATAGCCATCTTAGACGGAATGCACCCTCATGGCTCGACTATAAATACTTATCAGTATATCAGTGGCTTAAGGTGTAAAAACATCTGGGAAAATTAAATTTGTTTCTGGAAACAGCCTCTTGCAGAAATATAGGGAAAGGCTGCGTACTATAGACCCAAAGCGGCCGGACCTTTGCCTGGACCCTGCTCAAGCGGGAGCTGCGTGCACCGGGCTGCCCTTTTTTTATACTACTCGTGCTCTATCTTTAAGTTTGATTCCACTCACAAATTCTTGGGTTAGTATATTGTTTCCTTAGACATATCTTTACTCCTTTATAGTGCACGAGTATGTTTTGGTATTAGCCGTCAGATATGCTACATCGGACGGTTGGTAAGTGGCAAATCTGTGAGCTGCTGCCTGCTAGTCGCAGATTAAAGTCCATTCAATGGTTCAAGTCGCCTGGATTCGCAGCTACAGTATACCTCATCCAATTGTCCTGCCGTCCAACCTGATGAGGCAATGACAAACGGGGCAATGGGTAGCTACTGTGAACAAGTCACATCAGTATGTTTTAAGCTCTTTTTCTAGACAACTCATGTGGACACCAGATAAGATAGGAAGAATAGAAAGATGAAGATTCACGAGAGAGTTCTAGAAAGATGAGATAATGTGGTCTGGATAAAGATAATGCGGTATAGTTACCAAAACATTGTTTTTTTAATTGTGCTATATTACTTAGTAAGATGCTCCTAATAATCATGGAACTTAAACCAACCCGTTGCACTTTTCTCTTACAAAATTCATAAGAATAGTTTTCTCTACGTGCTTTGCACGTACCATGTCCTAGTAATGCTATAGCCTAGAAGTCAAGAGCATAATGCAAAATTGTTGGCTTAATGCTTATATCTGTCTTTGGAACTGTACTTAGAGGTATGATGCAGAGCATATCTACCTGTCTCCTAATTGCTATGGTGTATTCCAGGTCTGTTGAGTTATTCCAGTTCTGCTTTCAGTAGCACTTTATATTGTTAGTTAGCTATAGTTGTTGCTAGCTATGTTTTTATAGTTGCTCCAATGTATATATTTTCTGCATGCATGTTGTATTTGCGTCATCTATGTTAGCTTAGGAGATATGCTGCTGTTTTTCTATTTTTTTTCTAGTAGCCTAGTTTGTACAGGTTCCCCCCCCCCTTTGCCTGGTTTTTGTTTCTGGTCGGTCCGCCTTTGGTGGGGTCTACTGCTGCGCCGCCTTTGTCATTTTCTTCTAATAAATAATGACCTGCATTTAGGTGTGTGTTTGAGAGAGAATCAGTTTGTAAACAAGTGCATTGATGCTTCCATGCTCTTCACGTTGCAGGGGAGTCTGAATCTGACAGTGAAGCATCAGATGTTAGTGGCTCTGATGGAGAAGACACCTCATGGATTTCATGGTATTGCAACCTAAGAGGGAATGAGTTCTTCTGTGAAGTCGATGATGATTACATTCAAGATGACTTCAATCTTTGTGGGCTTAGCAGTCAAGTTCCATATTATGATTATGCTCTTGATCTCATTTTAGATATCGAGTCTTCTCATGGTAATTGTTCTCAATATTTACTCATTTAAATGAAACCACCCGACGGGTGTATGTTAACAAGAAATGTTAGATGCATTTCTGCACTTGATCTGATGCAAATGTGTTGTCCCTGTACAATTATTTGACTCATTTAACGTCACTAGTTTGGATGCTCAAAGCCTTTATTAGTAGTGATGTTAACACTTACTGGTTGCTTGGGCTCTGTTTCTAAGTACTCCCTCTGTCCCGAATTAGCTGTCTTAGATTTCTCTAGATACGTGTTAGATTTGTATTAGATATGTGTTAGATTTATCTAGACAAATCTAAGACAAGTAATTTGGGACGGAGGTAATACATTTTTGGTGTTACAGATTTTTTTAGTTTCTCAATGCCCTTGGATTTGTTTCTTTACTAGTTAAACGCTGAAGTAAAAGGTGCCATATCAATTGCTGTAAGCATAAATGGAAGGTTTTATCTGCCACACTAAATAACATCAATCCTTTGCATGGGCTTTGGTTGGTTGATTTCGTGCAATATATGGCTCTCACTTGTCCATGGCATGGTATTGTGCATGTTTCCTTTTACATTGCCTACGGCTATTGCTGATGTTCTTGATTATTTGAATATGTAGGTGATATTTTCACAGAAGAACAAAATGAGCTAGTGGAATCAGCTGCTGAGATGTTGTATGGGCTAATTCATGCGCGATACATTCTGACCAGTAAAGGGTTGGCTGCTATGGTAACTGTTATGCTAACCTTGCTTTGCTAGTACTTGCCCATATTTGTTTCCGAAAGGCTGAAATTTGCTCATGTCGGTGAAGTTTAATTTGTAGTAAGTGGTAACTTTTATTCCTTATTTTTGGCAGCTGGAGAAATACAAGAACTATGACTTTGGACGATGTCCACGGGTTTATTGCTGTGGCCAACCATGTCTACCAGTTGGACAATCGGATATTCACCGATCTAGTACAGTGAAGATATACTGTCCTAAGTGCGAAGACATCTACTATCCACGGTCTAAATACCAAGGCAGTATCCTAACCACTCTCTTTTTATACTGTCTCAAATTGGTGTGTTTTTCTCCTGGGGAAAAAAGAGTGTCATCTACAAAGAAATATTTACATATCTGCATCACTGGGATATCATAGTTGAAGAAAATTGCTATTTTGTTGTTATATTCTGCTGTTTTCTTGACCATGTCCAGATATTGATGGAGCCTACTTTGGGACAACATTTCCTCACCTGTTTCTGATGACGTACGATCACCTCAAGCCCCAGAAGCCCTCGCAGCGCTATGTTCCTCGCGTATTTGGCTTCAAGCTCCACAACCACAAGCCATGATGCGGAGGTGAAGGAAAAGATAAGAGGCCCCGGAAGACTACTGTAAGAGTGCAATCGCCAGATCATGCTGCCCACCCATATTGTGTGCCCTGTCTGGTCTATTTAACATTGAAATATTGGTATAAAAGAAGACATGAGACGATGTTGTAACCTAATTCCAGCTCTACTGGCTAGTAAATCTGGACCTCTGTTTCCAAAACCAGCAGCTATCGAGAAATCAAAGTTATGGTCGACAATATCATGCCAGTTATCGTTTAGATATTTCTTCCGCAAATCTGATTGCCATGTTACGCCAACTTGGAAGAAATGGATTATAGAAAATTAAATCAGCTAGGCAACTCTTTGTTTATTTAATTAAAAAACTATTCATTCACTTTATGACTCGACAAAATTTGATGTCATATGAATTGTGGGACCCTCTAGAAGCTCCTTTAAATATAAGAAGAAAATCTAGCCAACCTAGCAAGCTCGTGCGTAACCTTATTAGCTTTTCTATTACAATGTTGAAACCTGAAGGTAGAAAAATCACACGTTAAAAAATAGCAATCATCAAAAATTGCCGGCGCTGCTCCTGCTGACCGTCCATTATTATTCATCGTTTCAATAACATTCAAATTATCAGAATTAATAACAAGGCGATTGCAACCCGCACGTTGTACTAGTGAAAGACCGAATCTGAGAGCCCAAACTTCCGTTGTTAGAGCATCGACGCAATGATCAATTTTCCAAGTACCCCTGCAACAAAATTCCCTTTGTCGTTCCTCAGGACAGTCCCAGCCGTACCTTTAAGAAGATCATGATCAAAAAAAGCATCAACATTAAATTTTACAAAAAACACTGGGGGACGAATCCAACCCCCTCTTTTTATAGAAGCCCTTGGATTGGAAGCAACAACATAATTAGCCGTAAGAGCTTGTATCTCCATTGAAATCTGTTTTGCATCTTGAATTCTCTTTTTGTGCACTAATTTACGTCTTTCCCACCATAAATACCAAGACGTAATGACAATCAAATATTCTGGGACCCCATAATAGATAAATCTTGGTCAGGCATGTGCAACAAAAAACCGAGGACCGCCTTTCCAGCACGATCAACTTCACAAGCTTGAGCAATGATCTCGTCTAAGCCAAGCCTTCTTCAGACCACTTTTGCCATCTGGCACTGAAACAACAGATGCTTTGTGTCTTCTAAACCAGAAGCACAAAAAGGGCATAAAGGTGAAACTTTCATGTGTCTATTAGCAAGCGTAACACGACATGAAAGAGTACCATGCAACGTCCGCCAAATAAAAAATTTCACTTTCGCTGGACAAGATAACTTCCAAATCTTACACCAAATTGGATTAAAGTTTATTCAACCCATTCCATTAGTACGATGAAGTTTCCTTCCATGTTAATAATCCCACTCAAAAAAATATGCAGATCGAACAGAAAAAAGCCCACTCTTAGTATGACTCCAGGCAATAAAATTTGGCATATCAAACTGAGGCAGAGGGATAGCAAGGATCCACTGTGAATCAACGGGCCACAAGGTCTGTCTGATGAGATTCTCATCCCACCTGTTTGAAGAGGAGTCAATAAAATCCGACACTTTTGATAACAAATATTGCTCCTTTGGAGTGATGGCTTTTCTGTTAGCACAGTTAGGGATCCAAGCATCTTCCCAAATGTCAATTTTCTGACCATTTTCAACTCGCCAAATATAGCCATGTTTTAAGGTATTAACCCCCGCCATAATACTTTGCCATGTAAAGGATGATCCCTTTTTTAACTTTGCATTCAATAAATCTCCATCAGGTAAATACTTAGCTCGCAAAATGATGGCACACAAAGAATCTAGGTTCTTAAGGAGACGCCAAGCTTGTTTAGCCAACATCGCCAAATTAAAACAACTAGCCGAATGCCCGTGCGTTGCCACGGAACAACAAATTTAGGCAATGCTATATCCGAGTGGAGGCTAGTATGCCTCACGGCTCCACAATACAAATCGTATGCATCACTATAGGATAGCTTACACTCTCTTATAATCTTAGAAGAGCATTTTCTCTCCCTCGTCTACCGCTATCCATAATGAATGAATTAGTGAACTGAATGACAATGATATTGCTTTGTAATATTTTACTAAATCCAGGATTATTTGCCTCTGAAAGGATATAATTTTGAATAATATTTGAGCAGACACATTATCTCGGAGACAAGATAAAAATCATATGTAAATTCAACATTTAGGATTTTTTAAGAGATGATAACACATAGTATTAAAAGAGCACCGAATAACGCACCAATTTTGATAAAATGACAGGCATATACTCATCTGTAGTAGTATCGCTTCCATCAGTATGAAACAATTTTAGGCTAATAAAAGAATATGTAAGGTACATAAGTGCTTGTATAGCAAAATAGAACAAACCTTTTTTGTTTGTAGAACATGACAAGTACATCTTTTTATGTTTCAGAAGAAAGCACTGTACCACCAATATTTATCAGAATTTCCTCATATTTTATATCACAAAAACACAGTCAACAATGGTAGCACATTAACACACAAATCCCGTGCATCCTAAAGCGAGCACAACGTTTGTCATAGTAGAAGAACATCTCAAAGAGAGTTTACGAAGGATGGTAAAAAATCAAATAAATAATCAAAGATTGCTATATAGGTAAATGACAAATACCAGTGACACAGATGAATACATTGCCCATAAAGAGAAACCCAGGAAGAGGAAATATACCCCACAAAATCAGTAGAGTAGAATGGCCTCACTACGGGCTCAGGTTAACCTATCTGGAAGCTATGAGGCTGGCATGATCACCACACAGGCTCATGTTTTATGCAATTTTGTATTCTCTTGGTGAACAGTATGTACGACAATGAACTACTTTGAAAAAAATATAATTATGACAGTAATATCTTGAGCACCATAAGTGAAGGCACATGTAATTTGGATTTTTCATGGGCCACAAAATACGACATGGGATTCACGTACAGATAAATGTGTTACCTAAAGAAAATGTTTGACCACAAATGTATATGTCATGTGAATTTAAAGTTACTTACAACTCCAATTAATAGTGTATATGTAATGTCAAATTAAAGTTGCATACAACTGCAATTCATAGTGGTTTTCACCTCAATTTAAATATGTATCTGATTTTTTACGAACAAGACTTAGAGGTTGACCCTATCTAGCTAAGCTGTGGGTCAGTGTTTAACATGGAAAAAACAAAACCACATCCTATTCTCTCATTGTCATGACAATGATAGGAAGAAAAAACAGACATTCATAAACAAACAAAAAGATGGGACTTTTCATTGCTTCCTAGCCCTCTTGTTCATTGAGACGATAGAAGGATATAATGATCGACGATGCTTAAAGAGAAATAAAGTTGACTGCATTATCAACAAATGACAGGGCAAACTGGAAACAGCGATCAAGATTAGCAAGCAACTACATTAGTGAAGTGAGTGATCACACTTGATAGTTGATGGTGCAGAAGTACTCGAAAAGTAAAAGAAACATATGCGTATAATGGAACAGAGATTCTGCAAGGAATTTTTATACATAATATTCAGTCCTAATTCTCATATTAACAAGTGTATTGAGTTCCTGTTTCCTGAATTGTGTCTGTTTGGCAAGATACACGCAAAAAGATTTTGTACGGAATTGTGTGATCAAAAGAGGGGGGAATGAGGGGCAATAGAAAGTACTGATTTTATATTAGATGGATCAAAGAACAGCTGCTGAATACCCGTGCGTACACCTTACAATTCAAAGTTTCAAATATTGTAGTAATAAGTAATTAAGAACAAGTTCATATATACACAGAAGTGGAAGGCTTCTGAATTCAGAAAGGGAGAAAAGACCTCACTCATATGATTCCATGGGTGAGCAGCCGCCGCTGTGTCCGCTGACAAGATGATGACAATCATACTGTGGGGCGTTGTGTAGAGTTTGGGCTAATCTCTGTGGTTGTGCATCGCCACTGTTCCTTTCCTCGCATCTCAAATGACAGCTAATAAGAAGAAGAAACAACAATCTTGATACACTACAAAAGGACCAATCACATATGGAAATCACCAAGAACCATATCATAAAACTGGAGGCAAGAGGACACTTCTCAAACATCTCTCCATCTCCAACCCGTGACTGCTATAGGAACGAGTAGTGTTCATTAGCAATCCTCATAGTGATTGGCCCATGCTCTCACGTCTGGGTTGGTCGATGTCGAACTCAGCCGTGACGAAGTGGCCGCCACCGCGGCATCTGCATTGAAGGCCGTCGTCCTTGTAGCGCTGATCGACTGTTGCGCGCGCCACCGTTACCACGCACCGCCGATGCCCTTGCAGCGTCGTCCTGTGAGACCACGCGCTGGGCCGTCCTCGAGGTGCCCACCGGCAAGGAGCGAAGGACATGGACGATATAGTCACCGGACAAGGACAAGGGCGCTCCTCCGATCGTGACATGGACATGGGTGGGATCAGGCTGATCCCTAGATCGGACTGGGGATAAGATGGGGAGAGGCAGGAGCGGGAGAGTGAATGTGCCGGGGTGGTTCAGGTTGGGGAAAGAGATCTGTAGATTGAGGATTTGAGGTCGTGGGAGAAGTTGAGGACGTGCAGGTTTTCCTCTTCTAGTTTCTCGCCGCTTTGGAACGTGGATTTTCTCGGTAGACTTTTTTATGTGTGGGAATCCTACGGGAGCGGGAGGACGTGGTTGCACCTATCGATAGGACGAGGAGGTGGAACCATCGAGGAGGTCGAATCATCACGACGTTCGATCCTCCTTTAATAGTAGAGATGAATGTCATGAAAGCCCATTCTGCCTTGGCTTTTTGGGACACAATTTCCGCCACGCCATCCAATGCATCCTTCTCTAGTTGTCGTCATCACCCCACCAAAAATGCGACATCTCGTCAGTTATTCCTTTACAATTTTTTTTAGGAATTTTAAAGACCGACATAGTATAAGTTGGGATAGCTTGAACAACAGACTTGAGAAGAACTTTCTTGCCTCCAGTGGATAAGAGCTTTTCTTTCCATCCGCTAATTCTCATAACAATGCGATCAATCAGGTATTGGAAACAATCCGTATTATCTAACCCCACATGCGCAGGCATGCCCAGATACTTATCATTGAGAGCTTCGATCATGATATTCAAAATTGAGCAAATTTGTTCTCTAATGTCCCACTCGTATTTGGGCTAAAAAATATGCTAGATTTTTCAACGCTCAACATTTGTCTAGACGCAACACAATATAAGTCCAAAATTGATTTAAGTGTCTCTGCATTTTGTTGATTAGCTTTCATGAGGATCAATGAGTCATCCGCAAAAAGGAGATTTGTGATAGTAGGGGCCTCTCTGCAAACCTTGACTCCTGAAATATTTCTAATCTCCTCCGCATGCGCCAAGAGAACAGTAAGGCCCTTCGTGCATAATAAGAAAAGGTATATGTCAGCTATCACGATAGCTCCAATTCCCCTGCCGAAAAACCTAGGGTTTTTTTTATCTCCTCCGACAGTTGTTACCCGCCGAGAGTCTCGCTAGCTGATTTTCTCCTGTGATCTTCCTCCACCCCATCGCGTGTCTCCCTCCTTTGCTTCTTGTGAGTGGCCCGGGGTCTCGAATCATGGTGGATGAAGAGGAGGAAGCATGATGCAATCTGGAAATAAGGATGTTGAGGACTTCAGAAAGATTGGATTTTGCATTTCATTGAGATTTGCGTTTTTTTTAGACAATCATTGAGATTTGCGTGAAACAGAAGGTCACCAAAATATATGTACGCAATTACCAGGCGCCCGGCCCGGCCGGGTCCAGCCCAAACAGCCCAACCCAAACGCAACAACGCCTTCAATGTCGCCACTCCTCTTAGCGTCGCCTTCTCCAAATCGCCGAAACCCCAATTCATTCAGCACCCACCCATCTGCAGGTCGCACGCATCCATCCCGTACCTGTCCGACGAGGGAGGAGAAAAAAATGCTGCGCCACGCCGCCCGCCGCCTCGCCTCCCGCGCCGCCGCTGCCGGCAGCGGCTCCATGAGCCGCAGGGCCCTCGCGACGGCGCAGGCGCCCGCGGAGGCGGGCGAGGACCCCGCCTTCCTGGAGGCGTGGAAGAAGGTGACAACAATCATCGAGCCCCCCCAGACGCCCATGTCGGCCATGAAGCCCCGCCCGCCCACGCCGGCCTCCATCCCCTCCAAGCTCACCGTCAACTTCGTCCTCCCCTACAAGTCCGAGATCACCGACAAGGAGGTATATCGTCGTAACCTCCCCCGTTGTCCCACCTCCCGATCTCAGATCTGTGCGTGTGCGTCTAGGGTTCCGACCGTTCGCACGATCTTGCGGCCGTTTTTCCTTTTTCGGTCGGAGATCAGGGGCGTGTGGAGAGGGGCCTTTATGATCTGGTTCATCCCGCGGGATGGTGGAATCCTAGGGGCGATTTGGTTAGGAACCACGAATGTTCCTTGTATGGTCTTGTCATGGGATGCTTTTGTTCATGTCATTGTTCAGGTGGAATGGTTGTGTTGGGTCGCTTGTTGCGCTTGATCCTGTGCATGGGTGCGCTTCAGTTTGTAGTCTGCGTGAGATTGTTGGATTATATCAGTTAATCTCATGTCCCTGTGGGTAAGCCCGATCATTCCAAACCTCACCTTTTGGAGTGCCATGCACCATATGACTTATATGTTGATTGACTGTACTGAGTAGAACATGTGTCCTCCTAATGGTTATTGCCGTCCACAAGGACCTGCAGTTTTCACTTGGGGCTGTGGATGCTTTAATTGTAAGCACTTTAGATTTCTGCTAGCATCTTCAGGCCGTAAAATTCTTAGTGGCGTCCTAGCAAACTTCTATGATCTTCTTTTTCAATTTGTACCGTGAGGATTGGACATGCCTCTTTGTGGGTATCCTTATGTTTTTCTTCTCCCAAGCTTCTACCCCAGTGCCTAGATTAAGTATTAGTCCGATAAAACGGATTTTCTTTCATATTTCGCATTTAGAGGCTGTTTGGATTGGCGCCCCAGGCTGCCAAGCCAAAATATTGGCGTTGACCGGGTACATGGGAACCGTTTGGATCGAAGCCAATTCTTTGGCGTGCCTTGACTACCTCCAGCTTTCTACTCCCTCTGTCCCATAATGTAAGACGCTTTTTGACTAGTGTAGTGTCAAAAAACGTCTTACATTATAGGACGGAGGGAGTAGTTCATTTTTTTGCCAACTACCGGCCAGGGTGTGAGCGGCAGAAAGCAGCGCCAATATTTTGGCTCGCCCATGCATTGGCAGGGTTAGCATATGCAATATCTAAACAGCCCCTTGGTGCTCTGTTTGCTTTCTGGTTTGTTCCTTTGTTGTGATATGGTTCATTATTCTTATTTTTTAGCTGTAGTTTGGAGCCTTGTTAGTGGATCTAGGACAATAGGGCTACATTTATGAGTTGTGAACTTCTGATCACATGATATGGTGCACCGTTGCTACAGTAGTTGGACCAATATTAATGTTTAACAACATTTGCCCTCTCTGACATTAACTCATAATACCTGTTGTCAATTTTCTTGATTGAGATAACCTTCATTCACTTACTGCACTGTTTTGCACAAACAGTCTGTGTGTCTGGAACAATCATAACATTCTCCCATGATATATTCTCTTGACCTTTTCTGGTAGCAATGCCCCGGTACAGTTTCCAGTTTACCTATGAATGTTTCTGTATTATTCTTAATGTATCAAAGACATGTCATGAGTTGCTTAAATACTACTCCGCCCGATCTTGTATAAATGTTGTGGGAAAACAACTGAGGCAGGTACTACTCATAGTATAACTTGCAACTGTTTTTGGGGATCAGAGGGAGTAGCATCTTTTATTGCGATGAGTGGGTTTCTTGAACTAGGAGTAGAACATGCTCTAATCTGTGTCAAATCATGATATGAATAATTAAATTGTCAGACGGCAAGAAGGTGAATTTATGGTCTGATGTACCAAGCGTTTCTTAAACTTAATCTACAGTTAATAATATTTACTTTAAGTTACCTAGTGTCTTTGGTTATCTGATTCTTTTTCTGAGTCTTTGAATTTACTTTTTTTAGGTTTCCAATTTTGTTATTAGCTATCAATTTTATTGTTGCTATTTGTCTGATAAGTAATTTTGGTGTTTGAGGTAAGTAAATTTTGTGATGCTGCATTTTTGGTGGGAGAAGGTCGGAGAATGATTTTCAAATTGTGTACATTGATTTCCTATATGCTTATGCTCGTGTAAAGTGCTACTCTTGATCATTGGTATGGTCTTGTGTTTTTGTCACTAATTCATATTGTTTGGCTATTGTCAGGTTGACATGGTAATGGTACCGGCTACAACTGGCCTGATGGGTATTTTGCCAGGCCATGTTTCCACAATTGCAGAGCTCAAGCCTGGTGTTATGTCTGTACATGAGGGAAATGATGTTACAAAGTACTTTGTGAGCAGTGGCTTTGCATTCATCCATGCAAACTCCATTGCTGATGTTGTGGCTGTTGAGGCTGTCCCCCTTGATCAGATTGACCAAAGCTTGGTCCAGAAAGGTCTTGCTGAATTCACTGCCAAGCTTGGATCAGCCTCGACTGACCTAGAGAAGGCGGAAGCTCAGATCGGAGTGGATGTTCACAGTGCGCTCAGTGCTGCATTGACTGGTTGATGATGACATCTTACATTTTTATGTCCTTTTCATCCGCATCTTTAGAATGTGAGTCGAAGTCGGCAAACTCATGAACGAGGGTGGAGGGAATGATCTTAAATAAATTATACTCCATCTCAAAGAAAGACTTGTTTCTTCCTGCGAGGATTTTTGTAATGGTAATATTTTCCTGTGTTCCAAAATCCAGTGCCGCCTTCGGTTTTTATTTCTTCATTTCAAATGGAATTGATTGATTTCCATTTCATAATTGCAGTCAAATTGTCAAAATATAATCAAAGTTATTTTTTTTCATGTTTGTGATGTTGTGGTTCCTGGTGAGTTGAATTCTTCAAAATTGTGCATGTTTTTATCAACCCATGATGAGACATGTTGTCATGTTCTGTGTATCTGTGATGTCTATTTCCTCGCTAAAACGTATGAAAGGTACGCTCTAAACTCTTGCAGGCTGAGAGGAAAAAGAAGCTAAAGTAGTCATTCTTTTCTCAAACTTGAATCTGTTACGTGGTTGCGCTTTAAACATTCATGTGAGACTAGCCACAATGAGTAGTAACATTGAGTAGTAACATAAACATGTTACTAGTCTATGTTACTACCTCTTTAAACATTCATGTGAGACTAGCCACAATGGATGATAACATTGAATAGTAACATAAACATGTTACTAGTCTATGTTACCACCTCTACAGTGAGGAGTAACATATGTGTGATAACATATATCACTTCATTTATTAGGCTATAGACACATTTTGCATTGATATGTGTGATGTTATTCATAGTACTAATAACTAGCTATGTTACTACCTTCCTCTCTTTCTTCATTTATTACTTGCCACATCATCTATTTCATTTAGATATGTGTGATGTTACTACATATGTTACTGAGATTCATGCAGTTGGTTATATTCTCATTGGTATATAGACGTGGGCCATTGCCAGTCTTGGACGAGCAGATATTACTAACTACTAAGCATACGGTCTGTTTGGTTTACAAGGTTCAGTTCACGGTTTTCTAGTTTGTACGGTATTAACATTTTGGTAAATCTATACCTACCTATTAATAAAGTGGCTATTGCTTCTATCCGTCTGTCATCCTTTTTAAAAACCCCTACGTTTGATGTTAATTAACCTGCAGTCCCCCTCTGGTAATTAACCAGTAGTACAGAGTGACAGGAAATTAAAGAGAAGCCCCTTGACATTTTGGTGAATCAACCCAAGGTCCATCTAAAACTAATGTTTTAAAAAAATATACTACATATCTTTTAAACACCAACTTCAATTTTAACATGTTATATATAAATTTTGATTAGAAAAATGTGTAGAATCTGAATATGATGTTATTTTACTTGTTAAACATTTTTAAAATGCTACTTGTGGTGTGATTTTAATCAATATCGCATGATCCGTCTTTTTTTTCCTATTGACATTGATCTGGATTGTAAATGAGCACCTCAACAAAACCATATTGGAGAGGAAAGAAACCAATAATAACAATGCATTCACGCCTCATCAAAATCTCGCATGAAAAATAAATAAATTTCTCATATTATGCCAAGAGAGACACATTTGGATTGAGCACATTCAAATGCATTATGGTTATGTGAGCACCGAAGCCATCGTCAGCGAGGGTGGGAAGGAGTATAAGCAACACAAATAAGATGTCATGTTGAAATAAAGAGCATGAACCTATTGAGGTCTTGAGTTATGATTATTAAGTTAGGGTCGTGTGGTATTTTTTCTTCTTCCGTTGCAACGGACATGCTCATATTAGCAGCCCGTCTATTTTGTTAATATTAGCAAAATAGTTATTCTGATAACACTTTCGCACTGCACACTCAATGTAAGAGCACTGTACTTTCTGTAGCAAGGGTACTCCAGTGCGGAGAATAGTGAACTTCGTGTCGGAAAAACTGCACATAGTGTTTTTTCGATACCTTTTTTGCTCTAGTTTTTTAACCGTTTATCGAAATGAAGCGTGTAATATACGGTCGGAAAGCTATGGATTAGGCGTAACTTCGTCAGAACACTTCTCGAAATTCCCCACGGTTTAAGAGCAGTTTTGAAAACGATGCGGCGCACGACAAGTGGCAGCGAGCGTTTTTTCGCGTTTTTTCTAAACCGCTCGTCGGAATGAAGCATATGATACACGGTTAAAGATATCGTCAAGGCACATTTTTTTCATATCTATTATTTTCTCTAATTCGTTACGGTTTAAGAGCAGTTTTAAATTTACTAAATTGCGGAATTCAGTTTTTTTTGAAATTTTTGCAATTTTCGGTACTGTTTTCGCTTCAGTTTTTGAACCGTTTGCTCAAACGAGGCGTATGACACGCCGTCATAAACCTACGGACGAGGCACAACTTTCATATGTTGAAGTATTTTTGAGATTCCTTACATTTTTAAGTTAAATTTGGAAACCGTGCGGCTGAGGACGAGAGCTAGCGGCCGTTTTTCGTGAATAGTTTACAAACTACTGGTCGAAATGATTCAAATCATATGCCGTTGGAAAGATAACGATGAGGCGAACTTTTTCATGTAGAACACTCTCTCTAATTTCTTATGGTTTAATAGCAATTTTAAAATATCAAAACATGAACACTGTTTTTGGCGACACCCTAATCTTCGTCTGTACAGACAAAAGAATGCACTGCTTCAGATCAAAAACCGCACTGCATCAGACAGTCGAGCGAACTTCATGGTTTCTTTTTGTCGGATGTGAACTTTCCCAGACGAGTTTTTGTGAGTTTTTGTTGTCTTTTTTCAACATTTTTTATTACGGAGAGTGGACCGTAGAGATGAGGACGAGTGAACCGCGAGATATATTGAAGTGAACCACATTACTATCTTTTTGTTTCGCTAAGTTTTCACACTTCCATGTTGTGTGCGTCGCCCAACTTTTCCATGAAAAAAATGTACTACACGCATGTGCGGGGTGAGAGGCAGACGACATGCATGTCCAGTGGGACTGCAAGCAGATGCGCTCTGCACTGCACGAGAGCATCGACTAAACTACACGGTGATCCATCGAGGTGAGTGGAATTGAAGCAAACTATAAAATTTGTCATAATCCCGACGAAGCTCGCCTCATAGTACATAAGTGCACTGCATGGCGAGTCGATGACGGCCACACGCATTTGCTGTGTGGACTGCTCCAGGGAGACGGACGTGCGTTCAGAGAGGAGGAATGGGGGAGTGCACGGTTTCGCCAATGATGGGGGACGAAGTGAGCTGCAGTTCAACAAAAAAATTACCATGCGTGAAGAAGTGAGCTGCAGTTGTTCATGCGCACTAACGAACTAGCAAGCAAACTACACAAAAGAAGGCATTTTTGGGTAAGCAGGATGTGGCGCTGGAAACAGCACGCAAGAACGCCGAAGTCTGCAAGTGCACGAGCATTGAACATTGAAGCGCTACACGCATGCCTCCGAGCTGCACGTCCATGGTCGCCGAGCTGCACCACGGAGGCCGACGCCGGAGGAAGAAGGCAGCATGGCTATGAGCCGGCCATCCAGCACACTGGCTGAGGAGGATGCCAAAGGAAGGGCCGGTCCAGGGGATGGAGGAGGCTCGTGGCGGCTGGTGGCAGGGCGTTGTAGGGGGGCCACGCTGCCTGGATCAGGCAGTGGGGGGTCACGGGAGGGCCGCCGCGGCCTGGAGACGGTGGCAGGGCGACACGAGACTCCGGGTGCAGCCGCACTGCAGCACCGCTTCGACTGAACCGCGTTGGGAGCCCGACTATATCGCACACTCCGGCGCCCCCGTCGGATCCTGTAGAACTCCAGGTTGAAGAACCTACAGGATGGTCGGATCCGAGGCTGGTGCGGCCAGATCTCAGGCCGACGTGGTGGTCGACCCGGGCTG